TTTATTGCATGTTATTTGATATAATTAGAAATTTACAAAAAAAAAGTATCACTTGGCGAGTAATGATCATTAGATGAGATCGACCAAGTCTTCCTCATGTCGAGAAATCGGGGAGGAATAATTTATTCTGATCGTGACATTCCGCAGATAAACCGAGCGGTTTCGTTTTCGTCCCAATGCGATTTAGCAGAATGTAAAGTATCTTAAAAGCAATACTATTCCGACGACGTAAATGGTAAATGCAATTCACTAACGTGAAGAATAAGCGTGCACATGCGATAAAAGATAATTGCATTGTCGTAAATCGAATCACGTTAGCCTCTTCGCATTTTCTTTCACTTTTCGTATTGCATTCGTTCCCATAAGAGGTTGATGAGATTCTTACTGAACACATAAATTGATCCAAAATCAATTATGCGATATTTTTTTTCTTATTTTATATAGCGAGAATATTTCACTGTATTTAAGCACTTGAATTTTCTACTATCGGAGAAAAGATGGAATCTGCGATTTTAATGTATGCAGAACGCGACATTGCGGGCGATTTCAAATTCGCTTTCTTCTGTGTAAAATTAGAATCGACAGATGGAGGATTATTAATTAGAAACGAAGGAATGGTTAGCTAATATCTTAGTGCTTAACTAGTGGAAAAAGTTATAATTTTCGTCGTTTATTTTTTTCATGCAGTGAATTACCTCATTTTGTGTGAACTAGTGTCATTCTGTTATATATTTATTTTATTGTATGTTATATATTTTATGGAAAATTCTTTATTATTATATTATAAATTATAATATATATTATAAATTATAAATAAATGGATTAAAAATTTTATTTAATTGCAAGTGCAAGTAGTAATGCACAATTAAGGGACCTTTCTCTTTTGGCCTGAAAGAATTTTTGCGATTCTTTTTTTTTCTTTTTTTTTAACTTTTTAAATTGATTCTAAATTTTGTACATTTATTACATATACAGAGTGTCAAGACAATCTCTTCCCAAAAAAAGCTCGAGAGCTTAGCTACAAGGTAAGCTACAAGTGCTCGAGGTAAGCTACAAGTGCTTTTTTTGGGAGAATAGATTGCCCTGTATATTGAATATATAATTATAATTAAAATATAAATCGTTTAAAAAATATAAATCGTTTAAAAAATCAATTAGTTTAAAGAATATAAAACAAAGATTAAGGCGCTCCCAAAAAAAATCGTTTTGCACTGTGCAAAGTTGCTCAGTTCAAGCTCTGAAGCGAAAAAAATAGAAAAGATTTTACTTTATAGAATATTTACTTAATAAAACGGACATATCTCGGATTCTAAAAAAATTGAAAATTCATAAAATGACATCATTTTAAGTAAACCTTGAATTTTTTCTTCATCAAAAAATCAGATTTTATCACGGCAATAAAATAGTAATTTTTTAAACTTCGAAAAATCCAAGATATATACTCTAAATAGACGGATATTAAGTAATAAGACATATATTTGTGGGCAGTCGATTCGGTGCAATTGATCATGAATCGGCCGCGAAATCCGGTCTGACTAAAGGTGCGGCCGATCGTCTCTTCGATATGCATACATGCATATCGCGTGATACGGAATCGGGGAAAGTCTTGTTCTCGCCATGGAAACGAGAGTCATGTGCCGAAGGCCGATGTGCCGATTTTACGTAAGGTGAAAATATATCGTCTCTCTTAGGAATCGCGAGAGGAAAGTGCACCTAAACCGAACAGAAATGCTTTTTATGAGTCGCACGTAAATAGCACGCGCATCGCATGTAATGACACACTATATATATTATTTATACATGATAGTTTATTGTTGAAAAAAAATGACATAAGAGAGAGTTAAAAATTCGACATAGTTTTATTTAAATAAATAAGTATTTAAAAAGATAAAAAGTTTATTTGCTATGCATTATTTGCAGAAAGTCATGCATATAATCACGATGAGTGGAAAATTGTAAGGAAAGAACCTGATAGTATTATTAATATTTTCGATCGACGTATGTTTATAGCACCGCTGATTGATTTACATCCCGAGAGGTGCGCTCTCAACCGGTCGATCGTAGAGGAAGAGCGTAGATGATGAGCCTCACTATTTTTTCCGATTTAATGATCGCGTACATACCATACGGCTAGAGTTTAAACGGCTAAATGAATATCTCGAGTCGACCAACAAACTGTAATACGTACGCCTTCGCGAAGGAAGGCTGAGTGAATAAATCTCAGTTCGAGAATGATTGAATCGCACCGTCATTCATTACTGCCACGTAAAACATATCGAAGAAGTGCACCGATTGCAACTATGTTATCGACTCCATTTATCGAATGACGGCCACGATTCGTTATGATAAATGGGCATCTGATAAACGTCACGCTACTCTTACATTGCAATAAAGCGCACAGCGTAAAAAGTGCGCCGCAGCTGCGCGTTTGTGCAATTCGACCTTGAAGCTATTTGAATTTTCTACATCAGAAAATGTCTCGGAAGTATTAATATCTTCCAAAAAACGTGATATCTGAAATTATACATATCTGTGTCGAAAATGAGAGACGAGTGTAGAAAATTTATAAAAGTAAAATTTAAATATTACTTAATTCTCTCTTCTTTTTTTTCTCTAATTTAAATATTTTTATTTTCTAGTAGTAAAATATTAGATTCCACTCCTATCAAAACGCGCCAAGATGATTTATATAGATGATTAAATTAATATTTATCGTGAAAGTTTTGAAAATTTTGATTTATTCTTACTGATTTGCAAGAATTATTATGATTTATATAAGAAACACTTCCGAGAGATTTAGAAAAAATTTTTTAAAGTTATTTTGATATATTGAGAAATGTCTAAAAAAGTAGCTAAGAAAATTAAGATAATTTCTACAGAGGCTTATACATGTATAATAAAAAAGATTCATAAATAAGAAATTAAGATAATTTTTATGAAAGTGAAATAAAGAAAATGTACGTGTCATATATATATATATATATATATATATATATATATATATATATATATATGGATATGAAATTAGAAACAAGAAAACATTAATACAATCTAATAAACAGTTCTCTTTCAATATATCTTATTCGTGATAAACTTTATGAAATAATTAAAAAAAAATGTTCTTATTGAAATGTTTGCAAGAATTGTAGACAATTTCATATTGTACGCTCCAAATGAATATTATATTTTGTCCCTAGATAATTCCTGATTTTGTTTCTTGATCATTTTGGTAATTTTAATTGCGAACGAATAGATCAAACATTACATATGTTATAAATAAATTTTGACGCTCTTTTACTTGTTTCAATAAATAAAAAATTAACAATTTTTAAATAAAAATTTATTTTTATCTCTGTATTTTATTAATTACATAAAAAATAGTTATAAATTCAAATAAATATCCGTCTATAATAATAAACCATAAATCATGCTTAAAAACTAACATGTTACATTATTAATATTTTTTCTACGACGAATTGACATATCTAAATCAAGCGATCTTAATGAAAATAATTAGAAGAGCAATCGCGCGTGCACGCGCTCGTCTAAAAGTAACGGATGAACAAAGAGAAAGTTATGTTGCGCAATGAAACGAATATCTTAATTGCTGTTAAAAATTTTCATAGAACGAGAAAAGTTATTAACGTTCGAGTGGGTCTTCTGCAAGGTACTCACCGATCCGTAGGATCCGGATAATAATTTTCCCTCGCTTTCTTGAGTAAGTAATGCGTTTTTTGACTATGTAATTAGTACGTTCGCAAATAATTCAGGTCGCCAGAAATCCGTACGGCTGTTTCTTCGTCGATGGATAAAACTACCGTTATAACACGTTTGACCTGAATTATTTTCTGCAATGCGAACGGCCATTGTTCCGATGGACTTTCTTCCGTATGCACGCGCGATCTTACTCTTCATTTGTTGCACGTACGAAGTGACGGAATCGACAAAATAGGACGGTGCAAATAGAAATCCAACACGTGGACGGATAATTTTTTGACGATATTGAAGCTATCTGACTTGCATTTAATGATTGTCGCGCTTCTTTTAAATTTTTAATCGCTAAATAAATAAGAAGCTGTAAAGCTAGAATAAATAGATTTATTTTGAAAAATGTCTTTTTATTTGGAGCAATTTTAATATTAATTTTAATATTAATTTTAATATTAAGTGCAAATTAACTAGCTTGCGATAAATATTTATAAAGTTAAAAAGAATTAATCAAATTATCATTTAATTTCAATAAAATTATGAGACCCACAGAGCATTAGTCGAATGGTTTTTTAATTGCGTTTCTGACTATATTTCCAAGGACTATCGCCGCAAAAAATTGCTCAACTTATATTTAATTAGTAGACAGATAATTAATTAGAAGGTATTTTCGATCGATATATGCGGTATCGAGATATCAGGCTGCGGCGCTTCCTTTCGTTTCAGCGAAGCTTCCAGACAAATATTGACACACCAACCATGCTGGTGGAGTTGTCACACATCCTTTGAAGCTACTGACCGTCCGCAAGAGCACACAAAGAGTCTCCGGCGGGAAGAGTTTATTTGCCTCAGTTATTCTTTTACGCCTCCGAGCGATTTAGTAGCAATTAGTGTAGCTCGTTATTATGTTATTATCCTCTAAGAGTAAATTGCTAAAACGACATTAGCGTTTTGTCGTTGACTTTTATTTCATCTTTTATTTCCAACCTTATGCTCAATGTATCGGATATTTTCTCTTTTCATTTACGAAAAAATCTTATTTATTCATTATGTATTATTAAAAATATAAATGTATATATTCTCGCATTCTACTTAATATTTATAAATGTATTAAATAACTCAATGTAATTTATAGGCAGAGTAATTAAATTATATGGCTAATTAATTTTTTGTGCTTATGTTCATAAATATTTAATATTTATAAAATTATATTTATAAAATATTTAATCTTTAATTCCTTCTTTAAGAACTATTTCAGGAAAATTAATTCTATCTATACTTTTTTCTTTCAGGCTGAAGAAATCAATCATATTGTAGCCATGAACCTCGCGCTGCATGGATTTTTGCTGCAGGGTAAGTTTTGCAGTTCTCTCTATGAATTAAATTAATGAACGACTAAATTGATATTGGAATAATAATGAATAGAACGCAAACTTTATTTATTATCTAACTTTTGTGTATTTATTACATGAATGCGAGAAAGAAATAGAGATGCAGAGTTTATTAAAAATATAAAATATTTTTTTAAATTCCTTGAGCAAAATATCGATGAAATAAATATAATTATAATAGAATGAAATAATATTTCGTTTAGCAAGGAGATTAAATTATTTGTCGCTAATTTTTCGCTTTCACGCTTCGCACTTTTATTAGTTGACTTTATCACTTGACTCACCCTCGTATTCGTATGCAGACGACATTTTTCCTGGTCATCCTTCGCGGGGGCAGGATGCATAAAACTCGGCGCATCCCACGATAAAATCAGTCTCCGTTTCCGAGGATTAACTTAACGCGGGTTAACTCGTGATTGACAATCGTCCTCGAAAAACGCCCAACTCGCTAACTAGGTTTTCGTGCCGAGACCAAGGTGTTTCCTACGTGAACGTAAACAGGCAGCTAGAGTAATCGGTTGGTACGGTTCGGGAATCGCGAATGAATCACGAGAGGGGAAGAACAATGTGAAACACCGCGAGAATCGCGAATGAATCTCCTCGCGCAAGACAACAGGGTATCCGTTCCCTGGAAAAATATGAAAAACCTGGAATTCTTTTTGTATTGAATTTTTTTGTATTTGGAAAAATCAGAGAATTCTCATGGAATTTTATTGAAACTCGTAAAATTTAGAAAAATAATTTTTCTTTAATAATTTTACATTTATATTGTAAACAATTCAAGTAAATTATGTGTGTTTAAAATATATTATAAATATTTATTTATCTTTATTTGTATTTTATATCTTAATAAAATATTGAATGCAGTATATATTTTTTATATTGTAATTTATAATGATAAAAAATGAAAATGTTATGCAAATGAAAAATTTATCTTAAGAATATATTATTTTTCTTTCAATAATATATTCACAAATTTAAAACTTAAAAGATTCTATGTTTTTCTTTCGTAGTGTGAATGAAAAACATTAAAAAATTTATTTTAGAAAGTTGTATAAAAAAATTTTAAATAATCTTTCGAATTTGCTAAATTTTGAACAAAAATATTTAAAAGGAAATTTGTAGAGAATTTTTTTATAAAATTTGAATAAACACTCTCGAGAAATGTGAATATTAATATTATAAAAATATATAAATAAAAAGTGTTTGCTCAGAAATCAAGATCGTAAAATTGATCTTCAAGAAGGAAATTGAAACTTAATACGGAGCTCATCGATACTCATCGCAAAGTTTGCGATTTTATCGCTTGCCGACGAATCATAAGATACAAATTCAATGATTTTTCTTTCCCCAACGTGTAATATAGACTCTGATTTACGTTGACTTAAGCAAAGGAAGTCTTATACGACGAAATAATTTTCAAGGGCTGAGCAATAGCTGTCGTAGCGAAATTACGTTAAGGTAAAAGTATAGTTGAACGTGTAAATTTATGCGAGAATTATAGTAAAAGAACGCATACCACACAGCAATCAATACCGAGAGTCAGAGGATGAAAAGATAATACGACATACCACAGGCATTTTGTATAAATCGTATAAGCACCTCATCAAACCTGCCAGCTGAGACCACGAAATATAAAATGGAAATCCCACATGTTTTCACACGTCGCGTATCTGTAGGGTAGAATGAAATAGACATTTTAAAAGCATAATTAATAGAATTTTAAAAAATACAAAATAATGCGATGAATTCTTCTTCTGAAGACAAGCTATTATTTTGAATTCGTTGAAAAAATATAATTTTTATATAAAAATGAAATTATATTTAAAACTAATATAATTTTTAATATTTATTAATTAATTTTATAATATAATTTTTGTATGAAAATGAAATTATATTTAAAAGTCTCTTTCTATATTTCGTAAATGATAATTTATTACTTGTAATCGTGAAAAAAATCTCTTTTGATTTGTTTCTACGTATCGTTAAATTAATCATAGACTTTATGACGTTATAGAGGCGGTCATTTAATTCTTCCTAAATTCTTCTTGATGTTAGATAAATAAAAGGTTGGAATCAAACGCCTACATTTTGCTAATATGGGCTCGTAATAATCGAGACGAGTCGGCTATATGACGCATCGAGCAGATATATGTACGATTCTACACGTTCCGCATAAAAGATACTGTCTATTGAAACCCCGACGACGACGGAATGCGGCCTCGTGGGATATCCATGCAAGAAACGTATGCATCGCGGTCGAAACACGTGGGATGTCCGAGCATCATCCACTTGTTTGTGCGTTTTATTGTAGCTCGTTTCTCCTACAGGAAAATTTTCTTTGACAATTTACGAACTTCCGTCCGCTAAGACGCCATGCAACTTTGTTTGACAAATCTTAACTTTAATCTTACTAAAAGAGAGAGAGGTAAAAAGAGATAATTAAAAATCCAATAGTAAGAAGAATCATTTTTAGTTTTTATTCAAGTGTTTTAGAAACATTTTATTCTTTAATGCAGTTAATTTAAAAATCATATGTATTTTATTAAAATTTAGAGAAAAATTTATAAAGAGAAATTATGTTTTGAAACAGCGAAATTCTTTCTGTTACGCGATTATGATTCAATCGCATTACACAGATAAATTTGCAGAAAAGCAGGCAAAATATATCATTATCTCTGTAAATTTCATTTATATTTTTCTTTAATTAATACGTATGCGTTATTTAATTTCTCCTTTCCGCATATTTTCCGACATTTTACATCAAGTCATTGCATAAAATTTCAGATTTATAATTGATTCAAGTTTCCTATGTATTCACTTTCGAATTGCGGAAGAGACTTAAAAATATACAATACAATTTTACTTGCACATTTCTCAATTGTAGTATCGTATTAATTAAATATAGTCGAAATTTTGCAAATGATCTCTAAATATTAAACACATGGCAAGAAAAACTTCACGAGGTCACAAATCGATTACAATAAATATAAAAATGAAATGGGACGAGAAGGAATGAGCAATAAACATGGAGTTCATCTATCGGAGAGAAACGCGGAAAGTATTATACAAAGATATGAAAGAGATGGTTCACGCAAAAAGTCGTTTTGCATTTTCAGCCCACGCAAAAGACGGCGGCAAGATAAAAAGAGGAGAGAGACAGGCCACGCACTTCTCTCAATCTTTACTTTAAGTTGAAACATACCGAGTTAAGGAGGTCAAATAGTTGGCGAGAAAAGACACAGCCGACTGCTCATCTCGTAGACAGAGATCGATTGCTACCCAATCATTCTTGCGTTTAACACCTGCTAGGGCGTTCGTTGTTGGAAACTCGTTTGCCCGCAGGTACGAAGAAAGTTGCCGTTTACTGTGAAGCATATTGGTAACTCGCATCGCGAAAATAAATAGAAAATAAATACGGAAAACACGCAAAGTATTTGCGCCAGCAAAATCATTTACGATTCCGTTATGTGACGTATTTTATTATACAGCGACAATATTAATCTAGTAAAAAACATTATTTCTTGACAATTGAAATTTTATTTTACTTTTATACTAGTACAATAAAATTTGAAGTAATCGTTTAATAAAATGACATTTAATGAAAGTTGTTTAGTCTTCTTCTGAAAGCCCCGTGACGCGCTTATGTCATTTCTCATTGATATTATTCCTTATTATTTATGCAATTAGTTAGATTAAAAGGTGAAGAGATAGGAAAAATAATTAATCTTCAACAGAAATATAAATATAGAAAAGAAAGAGAGAAAATGTTTTATTTTTTAATTTTGCTTTTTTTGTAAATATTTAGCATCTATATATATATATATATATATATATATATATATATATATATATATATTGATTATTGCAAATTAATTATTTTTATTTCTTTTGATTTTTTAGATTAAACTAATCATTATTTTAAATCTAGATCGCATACATAATTATATAGTAATGTTATGTAATTACTATTTTTAATTAGTTAAATTTTCTGAAAACAAATAAACATTGAATTTGAATGAATTATTTTTATCGAAGATATAAAACCATATTTGATAATTTTTAAAAATATATTTTAGACTATTTTAATATGATAAAAAATTAAAACTTTGATATTTTTAAGTAATTGTTTTTTTAATTATTTTAATAGATTAATATGAAATTTTTACGAATGATATCAACAACGATATAATTTTTAATTAGATGTAATAAAAAAAACATTTGTTATGCATCTAAAACTGAAAATTATTCGAATCAATGTGTTTGATGTGTTTAATTTGTCGCAAAAGTCTCATTCATTAAAATTACTTTCTAAAAAAGATAAATTGATATCATAAGAATTTTAATTTTTTTTATTATATTAATAAAAAATATGAAGAAAAATAATATTATATTTAAAAAAATATTTTTTTTTTCTTTTTAATGAAAAGAAAAAGATTTCTTTACATCTCTAATCTTAAGGTTTTTATCTCTTGTCAGTTAATCGCGCAAACATAAGTTTACGTGTTACTACAATGATGCGAAGATGAATTTCTTTTTTATGTAATTCTGTGCAATCTTCAATACTCTTTTCATTTGACGTACAATGCAAACGATTGGCTTTCACTTCGTTCATGTTCGATCGGATTGCAATACGCAATAATTGAAAATTCACATTCATTCTGTGAACGCAGACATCTGATTCAAACACAACGATTGTCGTTATACCTGAATTAGCGTCACATTCAAATAAGAAACGTTCAATTGAAATATATACGTAATTTCGAAAATGTATACATAATTTTTTATTTCATACAATTGTCTCATTATTTTTATAAGAATTTTACTTTATTTAATTTTATTATAAAAATTTTACTTTATTTAATTTTATTATTAAAATTTTACTTAATTTAATTTTATTTTATTATTCGCAGAGGGAAATAAAAAAAATTAAATAGATGTTAAATAAAGAGACATTAAATT